CATTGATCTATGTGTCTGTCATTGTACCAGTACCATGCTGTCTTTACCACTACGGCAGTGTAGTAGGATTTGAAATCAGGGAGTGAGATACCTCCTACCGAGAGAACAAATTTTTTTATTAAGTCCGTCCAACATGTCTTGCAGCTTGTTCGCCTCATGAGATCCATTGACAGTGTAGCGGTCATTCTTAACATCAAACTGGGTCTGTACTCCCAGCTCACGACCAAAATATTTGGTGGGATACGTTGGAGGCCGATTAAGCGCCTTTGCAACGTCAACCATGTTGACTATCACTGTCTTGATTCCATTTCCTTTGCCCGCAACCTTGGCAATCAGACGGGGCATCTTGTAGCGATAGAACTGGTCTGACACGCTGTGGTTTACATTGACAGACATTTTGGCTTATTAGTAGCTTTATCAATAAGATGGAGAGATCTTTGATTGCAACTTTTTAGTATCTTCTGTCTGGAGAAGAAGGGATGACATAAACGACTGCAAGAGTTCTCGGTCTCTGACATGAAAAAATCTTGGCCGCCGAGGCTGGAATTGCCTTGCGTGCAGGCTATGCTTCCCCAATACAGGTACCAGTAGCTGCGCAACACCTCGTTTTCGTCAAATAAAGACCTAAACCCAACGCTGCTCGCCCGGGACTGGGATGAAGTGCGGCGCGTGGTCATCGGGTCTGAGACAGAGGCTGGCGGGCGGACGAGAGTGGGCTGGTGCTGCCGCCGAGCGCGGAGGAGTCCCAGCGACGTCTGGGGTCCACACCCGTCAGCACCGGAGCTGGCGACCTGTGGACAGAGCACCGTGAGGCGGCGGGAGCGGCTATAAGTCGCATGGTGACTGGTGGATTCACACTACCAGTCTTTGGATTGACAGCCCAACTCCTTACCTACTAGGTCACTAGAACTCCTTTATGGATGGAGTGTGAAGACATTATGTTGAATGAAGTAAGTGCATCACACACAAACATACACACACACACACAGCCAGCAAGCAAAAACTCCCAAACTGAGAAAAGGCAAATTTCTAAATACCAAAGTTAATTAATAATTACCATTGCCAGCAGGAATGGAGCTTTTTGCCTATGAAATACTGCTTTTTAGTTTAGAATGATGGAAAAACTACATGATCACATGAGGTCACCATGATTTCAAATCAACTTGATTTACCAGACAACACCGTAGAAGAGCAACCTTTTCTGGCTGAGTACATGCGTATCTCATGGTCAGTTTGTACAACTTGTTCCGACAATTTCCATCCTGCTCTTAAAATGTTGATGTGATGGTTAGGTTCTGTTAAGTAGTGTCTAATTCATAGTGGTCCCATGTATAATAGAAGGAAATGCTTCCTGAATCGGTACTACTCTCACAAACTTTACACTTGAGCCCATCACTGGAGTCACTGTGCCAACGAGTCTCATTAGAGGAAGTTCTTCTCCTTCACTGATCTTCTCATTTTCCAAGCTTTTTGTCCCTGTCTGTGCCCTCCTCACACAGGCGCATCCAAAGGATGTTAAGTAAAGTGTCACTATCCTTGTTTGTTGACTACACTTCTTCCAGGATGAATTTGTTTTCTTCTTTTGGCAGTCTCTGACATATTCAATACTCTTCAGAAATGCCAGAAGTCAGAGACCTCAGTATTTCTTTAGTCTTCCTTATTTATTCATTGTCCCATTTTACATGCATTTGAAGTGATATCATGAGACTTTGACAACTAAGGCGTGCCTAACCCAAGCCAAGCCATCAATTTCAATTGCCAACTGCAAATCTTTCCTTTCCGGGACTGTTCCTATTTCTATATTTCAAATCAGGCCCACTGTTGTACCAAATTTCAAAATTATTAGACTTTCAAAAGGGTCAGACGTTCACAGAGAGTGACTAGAGGGAGAAGCCACTCTTTATTTTCTATTATTTATTATAATAGACTTGGTTCCCTGGAAAAGTACTGTTGTTGCTGCTGTTAGGTGCCATTGAGTAGAGAATGAATCATAGTGACCCTATGAGCAACAGATCTGAAGTCTGTCCTGTCCTGTGCCATCCTCACACACTTAATGTGTCACACACATCCCTGACACTGTTAAAGCCTGTTACTGTAGGTGCTCTATCTCAAGGGTCTTCCTCTCTTAGGCCAACTCTCTACCTTTTCAAGCATGCTTGATTGCAATTCTAAGGAATAACTCCTCTAACAAACGACACGCCCAAAGCAAGTGAGACAAAACTTCACCCTCCTTGCCTTACAGTGGCTGCAATATTCAGTGCTCTTCTCCACGAACCAGAGCTCAAAGGCACCAATTTTTCTTCCGTCATTCTTATCCTTCATCCTACTCTCAGACTTTTAAAAAGTGATTGATTGATTGAAAAGGCCATGGCCTGAATCAGGGGCACTTTAGCCTTAACCACATCATAGTCTGACATCATTATTCCTCAGTATTTAGAGAGGTCCCTGACTACAAACTTGCTCAGTGCAATATGTCTCCTGATCACCTGAATGCTGATATCAAGGGTGTTGATTGAAGATCCAAGTAAGATGAAATCATTGACAATTTCAGTCTTTTCCCCATCTATCGTAATGTTGCCTATTGGGCCAGTGGTAAACATTTTTGTTTTCTTGATACTGAGATGTCTTTCATCTTTGTTTTTCCTTTTTTTTATTAATTTCAAAGAACATCTATAGAGATTTTGGAATTCCATTTATTCATTGTTGCACTTTTCTCCCCACCCCCACCCCCACCCCGTTCGCTCCTCTCCTTGAAAAGCAAAAGAAAAACTCCCTCATTGGTACACAATTTCTCCCCCCCTCCCCCCCCCCAACCCCACCCCAAATATACTCCACTCTGCAACAAGTGTTTCAAGTCCTCACTTTCACCAAGCAAGGTTGTGTTATCTGAATAACACAGGTTGTTGATGAATCTTTCTCTGATCCTGATGCCACATTCTTCTTCATAGAGACCAGTTTCTCAAATAATTTGTTTAGTTTACCAATTGAATAGGTATAAAGAAAGGATAACTTTCTTTTTGATGTAAACTTTTCTTAATTTTAAACCATGAGCGTTCCTTTGCTCAGTTCGAAGAACAGCTTCTTGATCCAGGTATAGGTTTCAAATGAGCATAATTAAGTGTTCCAGGATTCCTGTTCTTCTCAATGTTAGCCATAATTTGTTATGATCTACTCAGCCAAATGTCTTTGCATAGTCAATAAAACCCAAATAGACATACTTCTAGTATTCTCTGCTTTCAACCAGGATCCATCAGACATCAGCAATGATATCCCTGGTGCTATGCCTCTTCTAAACCCTGCTTGATTTTCTGGAAGTGTTGTGTCAATGTACAGTTCTAGCCATTTTTGGATAATCTTCAGCAATATTTTTATTGTTTGTTGTTTGTAGTAGTAATGATATTGTTCTATGGTATCCACATTTTGGGGTTACCTTTATTGAGAATGTGAACACATTTGTCTCTTCCAGTCATGTGGTCAGGCAGCTGTTTTCTAATTTTCTAGTATAGACTGGTGAGCACATCCAAAGCTGCATGTGTTAGCTGAGACATTTCAATTGGTATCCCATCAATTCATGGGGCCTTATTTTTTGTCAATTTCTTGAGTGCAGCTTGGACTTCTTCCTTCATTACCGTTCACTCTTGATCATATTCTACCTCCTGAAATATTTCAGTGTTGACCAGTTCTTCTTGGTATGGTAACTGTATGTATTCTCTCCATCTTTTGATAATCCTTGGATCATTCCAGATTTTACCCATACTATTTTTCAGTATTGCAACTCGAGGCTTAAATGTATTTTTTACTTATTTTAGCTTGAGAAATGCTGAGTGAGTTCTTCCCTTTTTTTCCTCTCTATTTCCATCCCTCTGTATATTTTGTGATAATATTTTGTTCTGTCTTTAGATTCTATGGAGAAGTTTTAGGTTTCAGAAAAAATATGCAGAAAGAACAAAGAGCTCCCATATACTCCTTGTCTCCTACATGCTACTTCTCCTATTATTAACAATTTGCACTCCTCTGAAATAATTGTTACTAATTTGTGTAAGAGTGTTGAGGCATTATTACAATGTTGTTGTTGTTGCTGCTGTTCTTATGTACTGTCAAGTCACCCATGACTCACAGATACCCTATGAAACCTGCCCTATCATGAGCCAGTGTCACTGACTCAGACACACCTACCCCCATTACCCCAGTTACTGTATCAGTCCATCTCATCTGGAGTTGTCCTCTCCTGCACTGTCCCTTCACCTTTCTGAGCATGATGTCCTTCTTCAAAGATTGGTCCCTCCTGGCCACATGCCCAAAGTATATGAGATGGAGCTTCAAAGTCCTAACCTCCAAGGAGAAACTTGGCTTTACCCTCTCCAAGACAGACTTGTTTTCAACTCAAAGACATCAATTGTTCTTCTGTCATCCTTAGTTATTGTACAGCTCTCTGATGCATAGAAAGTAACTGTGAAGACCATGGCCTGGATCAGACACGCTTTAGTCTCTAGACTGACATCTTTGCATCTCAGTACTCTGGAGAGGTTCCTGACAGCAGATTTTTCCAGTGCAATTTTTCTTTTGATTTCCTGACTGCTAGTGCCAAGAGTGTTGATTGTGGATCCGAACAAGCTGTAATTGTTATCAACTTCAATTTCTTTTCCATCTACCATGGTGCTACCAGTTGACCCAGTGGTGAGAATCTTTGTTTCCTTGATGTTAAGCAAAACCTAGAAAAAGGAAATATTGTAGAAGGCAGATACCTGTCAAAGAAGGGAAACCCAAATATTTCCCATTAATATAAAGTGAAGGGAGCTCTGGTTGGTTGCTTAGTGGTAAGAAGCTGTGTTGCAATCCCAAAGACACCAGTTAGAATCCACTAACTGATCCACAGGAGAAGGATAGTTAATTTCCTCCACTGTGATTTACTGCCTCTGTAGACCCACTGGAGGGTCAGCAATGAGTCTGTTCTGACTTGACAACTCACAACAACAATATAAAGTGATAGAAAAGTGGTACAATTGCATCTGTCAAATGTGGAAAAGTTACAAGAGCCAGAAAACAGAGGAGTTACATTGAGTTTCATGTCTCACAGATTTCAAGGTATTAAGTAAAGTCTGAATAGGATTAATAAAGTTGATCTCTGTGCAGTGCAGTTTTAAGGGTTTCTAGATACAACATTGGAAATATTCATTTGTCTATGCCCAAAGTTTGGAAGACAGTTACTTATCCAACTGACTGGAAGTGGTTAATATTTTTGTCCATTCCAAAGAGTAAAATTGATTTAAGAGAATACTTATATTATCGAGAAATATCATTAATATCACATGAAAGCAAAATTTTGTGACGATATCTTGCAAACAATTGTAGTGATGTCAACACAAGGAACTTCCAGAAATTCAAGCTGGATTCGCAGAGGATACAGAATGAAGAATATCATTATTGATGTCAGATGACACTTGGCTGTAATCAGAAAATAGCAAAAACATGTTTGCCTATATTTTAGTGACTATACAATGGCATTTGGCTGTGTGGATGATAACAGACGGCTATTATTTTGAAGGTTGGGAGTTCAGAACTATTAATGATGTTCTTATAGAATCTGCACATAGACCAAGAAGCTGTTGTTTAAACAGAGCAAAGAGGATATTGCAATGTTTAAAACTAGGAAAAGTGTATATCAGGATTGCATCCATTTACCACACTTATTTAACCTTGAAGTTGAGCAAATAATCAATAAACTGGACTATACAAAAAGAATATAGTATCAGAATTGGAGGAAGATTCATTAACAACCTTCCAAATGCAGATGGCACAACCTTGCTTGTCAAAAACAAAGATGACTTGAAGTACTTACTGGTGAATATCAAAGATTATAGCCTTCTGTATGGATTATTTCTCAACATAAAGAAAACAAAATCCTCACAACTCAACCAATAAGCAATATCAGGACAAATGAAGAAAAGACTGATGTCGAGACTTTCAGTTTTTAAATTTACTAAGTAAATTTACTTAGATATGCAATAGATGTCCAAGGAAACAATAGTCAAGAAAAAAAATCAATGTTTTGCATTGGGCAAATATGCTACCAAAAATATCTTTAAATAAAGTATTGAAGAACAATAGTTTTAAGACTAAAGTGTGAATATTCCAAGCCATAATGTTTTCAATCACCCCACACACATGAGGAAAAAACCTCAAAAGTCCAAAATTCTGCAGCCAAGTCAGTAGAGAGTTGTGTTTCCAAAAGAAAGCTGAGCAGTTTGAATCCACTCACTACTTCGAGAAAAAGATGAGCAGTCTCCTCTCATACAATCTACAGCTTCTGAAAACTCACTGAGGAGCATGTATGAGTTTATTCCAACCCAAGAGCAATGAGTTGAGAATTTAATTTGCATAAAAAAGTTGGACAAGGAATAAGGAAAAAATGAAGAATTGAATTTTTTTAATTACAGTGTTGAGGAAGAATATTGAATATACCGTTTGTGATGATTAAGATCATGGGTCAGTTTGACTATCCCATGATCTCAGTGGGTTGTCAGATGAGATGCAATCACCCTCCAATTAATATGAGCAATCATTTGGCATGAGAGCTTTGTTGGAAGTATGGCCTGCATCTAAGATAGATAGAGAGAGATAGAGATAGAGATAGAGATAAACACACACACACACACACACACACACACACACACACTATGGCTACATTTGCTCACCCTTAATAGATGCTGCATCTGACTCATCATTCTCTCTCATTCTTTCTTTGGGATGTGAGTCAAGGGTCAGTTTTACAATCAGCAGATTCCAGAATTTGTCAGCTTCCATAAGCCAGCAGTCTATTGTTTCATTTGCCAAGATGAAACCTCCAACTTGACACCTGGCCCAAGTGTCTTCAATTACATGAGTCATTTCTTTTATGTAGTTGTACCTGAACCATAGCTGACCCTCCTGTAGATTTTCTGAAACTATAAATTGCACAAGAGATTGCCCAATTTTTTCCCTATGAAGCTTCTGGTGGATTCCAACCATTAGAGAAGTTCCACCTTTAGCTTAGCCTTGCAGTTCTCTACAAACTACACTCCATGCTGTTGTTATGTACTCTCATGTCAACTAAGACACTAGCAACTCTACAAACAGATCCTATCCTGCGTCATCCTCACCATCTCTGAAATACTTGAGCCCATTACTACAGTTACTGTGTCAATACATCTTGTTGAAGATCTTCCTCTCTTATGCTGACCTTCTCTGCCTTTTTCAAACTTGATGTCCTTTTCTAAGGACTAGCTGCTCCTCACAACATGCCTAAAGTATGTGAGATGGAGCTTCACCATTTTTGCCTCCCAGGAGAACCCTGGTTGCACTTTCTCCAAGACAAATTTATTTGTTCTGTTGGCAGTCTATAGGATATTCAGTACTCTTCTCTAGCACCACAACTCAAAGACATCAATTCTTCTTCTGTCATCCTTAGTCATGGTCCAACTTTCAAATCATGGCAAGCAACTGAGAAAACCATGGCTTAGGTTAGGAGCATATTAATCTTTAAATTAAACCCTTTCTCTTTAAGATTTTGGAGAGGTCCTTGACAGCTGATGTTCTGATTTCTTGACTGTTGGTACCAAGGGTCTTGATTGTAGATCCAAGCAAAATGAAATTGTTTACAATGTCAATCTTTTATCTATTATCTATCATCTATCTATCTATCTATCATGATGTTGGCTCTTGGCTCAGAGGTGAGGATTTTTTTTCTCTTGACATTGAGATGTAGTTCGTATTGAAGTCTGTAGTCTTCGATCACCTACAGCAAGTGTTTCAAGTTGTCTTTGCTTTCAACAAGCAAGTTTGTGTCATCTGCATAACACAGATTATTTTTATAAGTTTGTTTTTATGCAGATTTTTCCTCACACTTTCCTCTATTGACATTATATTTTAAACAATTATTCCCATACACTGTGTTTAATAAAATTAATCACCATTGCACTGTGCCCATCTCTTCACGTCCCCACCAGAGCTTTTCCATTTTCTGTAAGCCCTCCCTTTACCAAATTGTGCAACCTTGTGATTTCCTCCCTATCCATCCTCGCACCTCTGCTCCCACTCGTCCACCCTTGGACATCCATACACCAGTTATCCTTCTATGTTTACAATAATGGTCTTTGCATAATCTGTTTTATTAATGAGTATTCCTCTAACCCTGATGCCACATTCTTCTTCATAAAGTCTAGCTTCTTGAACGATTTGCTCAGATACAGGTTAAATAGCTACAGAGATAAGATACAACTCTGATGCTCATCTTTCTTGATACTAAATCATGCAGAGTTTCCCTGCTCTATTGTGTACCATCAAGCTGACTCTCCAGTGGGTTTACAGAGACAGTTAATCACATGGGAGGAGATCGCCTACCTTTCTTCCACACACATAAATACACAAGCATACACATATGTTGTCGTTAGGCACCTCAAGTCACCTCTGAGTATATATGCACCTTCCATTGGTTTTACTCCTCTAGAGGATTCCAGCCTAAGACATTGTGGACTTTCAGAAGAACCAACAAGTTTGTCTTAGAAGGGAAGGCAGAATCTTCCTTAGATGTGAGGATAGAGGAACTCCATCTCACTCACTTTGCACATGTTGTCAAGAGAGACCAGTTCCCAGAGAGGGACACCATGCTTAGTAAAGCAGAAGATGTGCAAAATTGGATGAAGACTCGATGAAATGGATTGACACAGACGCTACAACAATGGGCTCCCATATATCACTAGTTTAGAGGGAGGCACAGAACTGAACAGCCATTTTATTCCGTCAAACATAAGGTATCTAATAGCAAAGAAATTACTAGGTGTATCTAATAACACTAACAAAGGTACTGAAAAATGGATACATAAAGTCATGTGGCCACTATGACAGAATATTATACAGAATAGTTTGTTGTTGTTGTTGTTGTTGTTGTTGTGTGCCATTGAGTTTCTAGCGACTCATAGCGACCCTATGCACAACAGCCCTAAACCCTGCTCTGGCATGTGCCAATCGCACTGCCTCCGACACACCCATCCTGATTATGCTAGTCACTGAATCAATCCACCTCATAGAGGGTCTTCCCCTCCTGCACCATCCCTCCACCCTCCCAAGCATGATGTCCTTCTCCAAGGACCGGTCTCTCCTTACAACATGTCCAAAGTATGTCAGATGAAACACCAGAATCCTTGCCTCCAAGGAGCAGCCCCGTTTAACCCTCTCCAGGATGAATCTGTTTTCTTAGAAGTTCATGGTACACTCAATACTCTTCTCCAACACTACAGCTAAAAGGCATCAATTCTCCTTCTATCCTCCCTAGTCATTGTCCAACTCTCCAATGCAGAACAAGTGATTGCAAAGACCATGGCCTGAATTAGACACACCTTAGTCTCCAGAGTGACACTATTGCTCTTCAGTACTTTAGAGAGGTCCTTAACAGCAGACTTTTCCATCGAAATACGTCTTTTAATTTCCTGGCTGGTGGTGCCAAGAATGTTGACTATGGACCCAAGCAAACTAAAGCTGTGAACAATCTCGATCTCTTCACCATCTATCCTGATGCTGCCATTTGATCCAGTGGTGAGAATCTTTGTCTTCTTCATGTTAAGCCTCAATCCATATTGAAGGCCGCAGTCCTTGACCTTCTGCAGCAAGCGCTTCAGTTCCTCCTCAGTTTCAGCAAGCAGGGTTATGTCATCTATATAACACAGATTATTGATAGATCTTCCACCAATCCTGATGCCACATTTCTCCTCATGAGCCCAGTCTCTCAGATAATCTGTTCTGCATACAGGTTGAAAAGGTATGGAGACAGGACACATCCCTGCCTTAAACATACTCTTGCTTCACCTAGTCCATCTCTCCTCTTTCTCCCTTAGCCCTCTAGTTATTCTTAGAAGGTAGATATGGAAGCAGAACTTGAAATATATCATGTCCATATAATTTCTTTGTCTATATTGGAGTGGTTTCTGTTTTTCTCTTTCAGAATGTTGAAGACAGTATGTAGGCTTTTTTCATATTGACCTCATCATTGTTAAGTGCCCTCAAATCAATTGCATCTACTTCATGTCGCCTCGGTAACTGAGTAGAACTGCTCCAAAGGGTTTCCTAGGACATAATCATGTTGCTGAAATGGAAAAGGGGTTAAAACACTTATCAAAGAAGATCAAAGTCCTCAAGATGGGTTACACCTTAGCTTAAAGAAAACAAATTCTCACCACTGAATCAATAGACAACACTATGATAGATGGGCGTGGGGGGGGGCGGGGAGATTGAAGTTGTCAGCACTTTTTTTAACAAGGATTCAGAGTCAACAACCATGGTAGCAGCAGTCAAGAAATCGAAAGATAATGTTTCATTAGGAAGATCTGTCATCAAGGACCACTCCAAAGTGCTAATGAGCAAGAATGTCAGTTTAAAGACTGAGGTGTCCCTGATCCAAGCCATGGTCTTTTCAATTGCTTTCTTTTCATCTGAAAGTTAGACAATGAATGCTATTGGTTTGTTTTTGTTTGGTTTGGTTTGGTTTTATTTTGTGAAGCACCATCTAGTCAACTACAACTTATAGCAACCCTGTGAACAACAGATCTGAACTCTGTCCTATCCTGTGCCATCTTCATCATATCTGGCACACTTGAGCCCATTGCTACCCTCACTGTGTCAATCCACTTCATTGAGGATCTTCCTCTCTTTCACTGATCTTCCTCTCTTTTACCTTTCCAAGTATGATGTCTTTTTCCAAGGAATAGCCTCTCCTAGCAACATGCTTAAAGTATGTGAGACAAAGCTTTGTCATCTTTGCCTCCAAGGAATATGCTGGCTGTCTTTCCCCCAAGACATATCTGTTTGCTACTTTGGTAGTCCATGAAATATTCAGTATTTTTCTCTAACACCAGAGCTCAAAGGCATTAACTCTTCTTCTCTTATCCTTATTCATTGTTCAACTCTCAGATGCATATATAGTCATGGGAAAGAACATGGCCTGAATCAGGTGCATCTTAGTCTTCAAACTGATATCATTGTTAGGTGCTGTTGAGTTGAGTATGACTCTTAGTGATCCTATGGACAATTGATCTGTCTGATCCTGTGCCATCCTTATTCATTGTCCAGCTCTCAAATGCAAGTAATTGAGAGACCGTAGCCTGAATCAGATGCTCCTCAGTAATTTAGAAGGTCCATTACAGAGGACTTATTCAAAGCTATACATCTCCTTGGTGCTAATTGTGGATCCAAGTAAGATGAAACCATTGACAATTTCAACTTTTTCTCCATTTATCATGACATTGCTTACTGGTTCCATGGTGAGGATTTTTGTCTTCTTGAACTTGGGATGCAATCCATATTGAAGGATGTAGTCTTTGTTTGATCTTCTGCAGCAAGCATTTCAAGTTCTTCTCATTTTCTGCAAACAAGGTTGTGTCATCTGCATAACACAGGTGGTTGATAAATTTTTCTCCAATCCTAATGTCACATTCTTCTTCATAGAATCCAACTTCTAGAATGATTTGTTCAACATAGAGATTGAATAAATATGGATAAAGGATACAACCTTGACACACACCTTTCCTGATTTTAAAATTAGCAGTGCTCTATTCAAACAACAGCTTCTTGGTCTACCTATGGGTTTCTTATGAGCAAAATTAAATATTACAGAATCCCCTTTTTTCTCAATGTTAGTCATAGTTTATTATCCATACCAAAAAAATGCCTTTGCCTCGTGGATGAAACAGAAACAGATACTGTTCTGGTATTCTCTGCTTTCAGTCAGGATCCATCTGACATCAGCAATGATGTCCCTTGTGCCATGATCTTTTCTAAACCCAGCTTAAACTTCTGGAAGTTCTCTGTTAATGTACTGTTCTGGCAATTTTTGTATGATCTTCAGCAATATTTTGCTACCATGTGCTAGTAACTACATTGTTAGATAATTTCCCTATTCTATTTCATAGCCTTTCCTATGAATTGGGGAGGAGGACCTTTTTCAGTCAGTTGACCAACTAGCTTTCCTCCAAATATCCTGGCATAGACTGATGAGCATGTCCAGGGCTGTATCTGTTAGTTGAAACATGTTCATTTTTATCCCATCGATTCCTGGAGAAGACAAAGATTCTCACCACTGGACCAATTGGCAGCATCAGGATGGATGGTGAAGAGATTGAGATTTTTCACAGCTTTAGTTTGCTTGCCTCCACAGTCAACACTCTTGGCACCAGCAGCCAGAAAATTAAAGGAAGTATTGGGATGGGAAAGTCTGCTGTTAGGGACCTCTCCAAAGTCCTGGAGAACAATGGTGTCATGCTGGAGACTAAGGTGTGTCTGATACAGGCCATGGTCTTTGCAATCACTTCCTATGTGTCAGAGAGTCAGACAATGACTAGGGAGGATAGAAGGAGAATTGATGCCTTTGAGCTGTGGTGCTGGAGAAGAGTATTGAATGTACCATGGACTGCCAAGAAAACAAACAGATTCATCCTGGAGAGGGTTAAACGGGGCTGCTCCTTGGAGGCAAGGATTCTGAGGCTTTGTCTAACATACTTTGGACATGTTGTAAGGAGGGACTGGTCCTTGGAGAGGGACATCATGCTTGGGAGGGTGGAGGGACAGCACAGGAGGGGAACACCCTCTGTGAGGTGGATTGATTCAGTGACTGGGGTAATCGGGGTGGATGTGTCAGAGACAGTGCAATTGACACAAGACAGAGCAGGGTTTAGGGCTGTTGTACATAGGGTCGCTATGAGTCACAAGCGACTCAACAGTACATAACAACAACAATGCATTCAGTGAATTTTGTTATCACTAGTTCTTGTTCATACAGTACTTTCCGAAATTTTCCAGTGTCAACGAATTCATTTTGGTACAGAGATACTGTATATTCCTTCCATCTTCCTTTGAGGCTTTCTGTATAATTCATTATTGTGCCTATAGTATCTCTCATTATTGTTTTGATAATTATGAATTGTGATTCTGGGAAAGAATATTGGACATACCATGGATATCCAAAGAGCAAACTTCTGTCTTGAAAGAAGTACAGGTAGAAGTTTCCTTAGGAGCAAAGACTGTGAGACTCTCTCATGTACCTGATACATGTTGTCAGGAAGGACCAGTCTTTGGGAAAGAATCAGGTTTGGAAAGGTAAAGAGTCATTGGAAGAGGTGAAAATAGTTAGCAATGGTCTTAAGCACTGTGGAGATTATGAAGATAGCACACAATATATGTAAAGGTTTCAATTTGTTGTTCATAGGGTTACTAGAAAGCAGAATTCACTTGATAGCACCTAACAATGACAATCTTTATAGAAACAGATCACTAGTTCTTTCTTTTATGAAAGAAGAAAATATGTAATTATGGTCCTTTCATGTATATTCATGACATGTTGTTGTTATATGTCATTGAGTCACCTCAAACTCATAATGACCCCATATACAATAGCTCTGAACCATGTCCTATCCTGAGCCAGTCTCACTGTCTCTAACACACCCATTACCCCAATTACTGTGTCAATCTATATGATCTGAGTTCTTTCTTTCCTGAGCTGTCCTTCCACTTGTCCTAGCATGATATCCCTCTCCAGGAACTAACTGTTCTCTCCTGGCCATGTGCCCAAAGTCTGTGAGACAGAGTTTTGAAATCCTCCCCTCCAAGAAGCAGCCTGGTTTCACCATCTTCACAATAAACCTGTTTGTTTTCTTGACAATCCATGGTATGTTCAACACTTTCCTCCAGCATCACAACTCAAAGGCATCAATTTGTCTTCTGTCAACTCTGGTCATTGTTCAACTCTCTGATGCATAGCAAGTAATTGTGAAGATCATGGCTGGAAATAGGTGCATCTTTGTATCCAGGCTGACATCATTGCACTTTAGCACTTTGCAGCGATCTCTCACAGCAGCTTTCGTCAGAGCAATTAGTCTTTTGATTATTTGGCTGCTGGTGCAAGAGTGTTAATTGTGGACTCGAGCAAGCTGAAACTATTAACAACCTTAATCTCTTCTCCATTTACTATGGTGCTGCTAATTGCCCAGTGGTGAGAATTTTTGTCTTCTTGATGTTGTGCTTCAATCCATACGGAAGACTACAGTCCTTGACCTTCTACAGCAAATGTTTCAGGTCCTCCTCAGTTTTGGCTGGCAAGGTTGTGTCAACTGCATAATGTAAGTTATTGGTGAGTCTTCCTCCAATCCTGATGCCACATACCTCCTCATAAAGTTCAGCTTCTCAAATGATCTCTTCAGCGTACAGATTAAAAAGATATAGAGTCAGGATGCATGCCTGACACATTTCTTTCCTGATTTTGAACTATGCATTGTTTCTTTGTTTTGTTCCGATGATTGGTCCAAGTATAGGTTTTGCATGAACACAATCAAGTGTTCTGGGATTCCCATTATTTTCAAGGGTAGCCAGTTAATATGATTCCAATTATGACCTTGAATCTACTCCACTTGAATTTCAAAATAATCTTAAGAAAAGGTTTGAAGCATTGAACACCAATGCTCAAAGACTAGATGAGTTGTGGGATGACATCAAGGATATAATCCATGAAGAAAGCAAAAAGGTCATTACCTAGATGGAGGATAGAAAAACCCAAAAAACAACAAAATGGATGTCAGAAAAGACTCTGAAAATTTCACTAGAGCACTGAGAAGCCAAAACAAAAGGAAAACATGTCAAAGTAAAAGCAGAAGAGTTAAAGGCAGATCAAGAAGACAGAGTATTATAATGGAATGTGCAAGCAGTCCAAATTAGAGACTAAAAAAGGGAAGAACTTCTGCATTTTTCAAGCTGAGAGAACTAAAAAACAAATTTAAGCTTTGAATCACAATATTGAAAGATGCTATGGGCAATATGTTGAATGACCTAAGAAACATCAAAAGAAGATGGAGGGAATACACAGAATCACTCTACCAGAAAGAACTGATTGACACTGACTCAGAAAGAACCCTGTGAGTAGGAGCCAATGATAATTAAAGAAGAAGTTGAAACAACACTGAAGTCATAGGCAAACAAAAACAAAAAGACACCAAAAAAACAAACCAAGGGACTAGCAAGCGATGGGATATCAATTGACTGTTTGAATTAACAAATGCAGCTCCAGATGCACTCATCAGTCTATGCTAGGAAAATTGGAGGACAGCTATCTGGCCAACAGATTGGAAAAAGTCTATATTTGTTCCCATTCCCAAGAAAGGTGATCCAGCTGAATGTGGAAGCTACTAAACAATATCACTAATATCCCATGCAAGCAAAATACTGCTGAAGATTGTTAAAAAATGGCTAGAACAGTCCAAAGGTAAGGAACTGCCAGAAGTTCAAGCAGGATCTAGAAGAGGCTGTGGCACCAGGGATATCATTGCTGGTGTCAGATTTATCCTGGCTCAAAGTAAAGAATACCAGAAGAATGTCTATTTGTGATTTATTGACTGTACAAAGGCATTTGACTGTGTGGACCATAACAAGTTATGACTGACATTGATAAGAATGAGAATCTCAGAACAATTGATTGTCTATGCACATCCAAAAACTTCTCCAGCAGGATAAAAGGGGAAACCACAGACTGGGGGGAAAAATTTGGTAATGACATGTCACATAAGGGACTTATATCTAGAATTTATCAAATACTTGAGCACCACAACAAGATAAAGGTAAATAATCCAGTTGAAAAATGGGCACAGGATATGAACAGACACTTCACCAAAGAAGGCATTCAGATGGCCAACAGGCACATTAAGAAATGTTCAAAACCCGTAGCTCTACAAGAGATGCAAATAAAAACAATTATGAGATACCATCTCACCCCAGGCAGAATAGCAAAATTTAACAGAGCAGCAAGCATCAAATGCTGGCGAGGTTGTGGAAAAACTGTTGTTGTGTTGTTATGTCCCGTCGAGTCACTTGCGACTCATCGCGACCCTATGTAC